TATAGGCGACCTACGCATTCAATACGACACTACGATTTGACTTGAAGTCGACTAAGGGGCGCATCCCTCACATGGCATTAATTAAAGCCGAAAAACCACAGCCTTTCGCCTTTAAATCGGGTACCAAGGAATCAGCATGGCTGTCTCTGAAAGCGTTCTGCGGGATTTCCCGAACTTCGGGAGTCAAGTAATAACTCATAGAGATAATTTCGCTGGTAATATGAAGAGAAAATGCTGCTGATACAGGTGACGGTAATCGAAAAGTCGAAAATCAGAATTCTTCGAACTGTTCCAGTTTTAACATTCCGGAGGTTGGGTGTTGACGCAATTCTTAGACTTTCTGATTTTTACCATTGTTCGACAACCGAAAAAGAAACTCGCAGGCAACCCATTTTCTTTTTTAATCATGCCAAATATGTTGAGATTAAGGGCTGCTCGTTGCTGACGGCTATTTCACAAACGTCCAGGAGCTTTGTTGAAATTTACATAGTCACATCATGTTCCCAGCAGCTTTCAGCAGCACTTGAAATTCCAGGCGATTTTTCAAGGATTTCAAAAACTCCACTTCAGAGTTTCGGGTTGTCATTGACAACTGAATAAAAACGCTGTGCTCAGAGTATCCTCACACAAAATGTGTGGACAAAGCACCTAAAGACGATCTTTGTTAAATCACTGAGAAAAATATCGTCCATTACTAGCGGGTATAGGATTTTGCAACCAAATTCCAACCCTCGCAGGTACGCCCGTTGCATCGGTTTTGGGGCAATTACCGTAATCACCTAGGGGGTTCCAAATGTGGGTCTCATCCCTACACTGCGCAACCACACACTCGACGGGTGCTGGCTGTGCGCCATGCTGGTGCAAGATTCCACACCCAATATTAGCTGATCACTCACTCACCCTTTTTTATTGTTATTTGAGGCTGCTTCCTCTTAAGTTCTCTGAAGTTTGGATGAAAAAATGAAATACCTGTGGAACATGGATATACTGAACCAGTAGAGCATATCCAGGGTGGAGGCAACGAAAAGCAATGTGAACCACAACCATATGAGGATGAAAATCTTCTCATTAAAGATGTTGATCACCAGGACACACTGTACGGAATGCCGCTGATTGTTGCCGAGTACACGAACTTCGAAATCACACTGAAATATCTCTTGATATCATGATAGAAGTAGACACAAAGCGAAGGAGGTCTCCGGACCGCTTCGAAGCTACGACTGAGTTAATCTGTAGTATCCGAATATACCTAGATCGTAGGCGTAATTCGCTGCTAGAAATGATCTTTGAAGCCCTTTGTTGACATTTAAAACAGCAAAGCGCAGAGAGTTATCGACTACGAAGAGCCTGCAGCCATACATCAAGCTAGTCTACCAAATAGCGAAGTGCAGCTTTCTTGTAAAAGCTTCCCACAAGAATTTCACTTTCTTCTGAATCTACCACGTCCTCTGACTGATTTTTCATCCCAGCAATTAACTTTGATGCCTCACACTGAGTAGCAAACGACCAAGTAGGAACAAAGAACTGAGCGTCACCTCCTTGCACGAGGGTTGACGTGGGTAATTTGCAAAAATGATAGGAAGGACGAGGAATCGCTCCAATGAAAATTAAGAAAAAGAGGATGACGAACTGCTATTATGCCTACAAGCGATAACATCACTCCAGTAAAGAATTGGATATATAAGAGAATTCGTGGTCTGCGATACAACGTGCCTCATACATATTCTGGCTGTAGCGATTTTTGTCCAGGCCTTTTCGCCTACTGGCCTACCTAAACTATTTCGAGGAAATGGGATTCCATATAGATTTGCACATGTTCGTACTTAGAGACATTCGCAGCGAGCACTGCTAGTACTTTCTCGAGCGAGAAAGAATAGCTATATAGCATGTTCAAGGCCAATGTCCTGAAGGGATATTTGTCTCACTTTTTTCCTGGGAAAACCCTCATAGTTGCTCACTGGTGCTCGTTGGCCGTAGGGAGATCTTATGTGATATGCACTGAGTTGTGAATTCAAAGAGGAGCATGATGAATCAAATGGAGACAACAGATTGAATGCTCTAGTATTAACGTTCTTATATCGGACCGTACAGGTGAGAAATCTAAGTTCGCTTGGAAACACCGTTTTATGCCGATTTCAGGCTAGACAGGGAGTTAGGGTAGTTGGTAGTTATGAGGGAAAAACGATCGAGTAGGCAAATCATTCCAAAATGCTCTGGGAATAAGCTGCTCAGGGCTTTGAGAAATCGAATTCATGCCTACGAATCGGGATGCATTTTTCATGAATTAGTCGAGTGGTTCAGTCAAAGGACGATTGTTTCACGTGCACGTTCATTGAACAGCCACTCTCCATTCGGGAAGGGCGTCGAATAAAAAATTTTCCTACTCCTTTTTCAAAATTCGATCTCTTCCAAGGCCCGAGAGAAACCAAAAACTTACAAGTGTGACTCGTGGGAAATTCCCACTTTCCATCCATGTTCGGCCAAATAGCAAATCCCTCAACACGCCCAGACCATATATGGAATAGTCGTCGGTCTCGAGAAATTTGTTCACCAGCACAAGATTGGTGAGAATATTTCCCACATACATAATTTTTGTCGCCTAAATGGAATCCCTCGTAATGCGCTCACCCAGAACCGCTTGGGTCGACGAAAAACAAAATAATTATGAATCAGAAAAGCTCACCAAATACATCCCTGTCACATAGCTTTCATAGTAACGCATATTGAAACATTTAAATACTCTATGCAGTGTATATTGCGTCCGTGATGTGGCTGTGTGCTGATACCTTAACAGATAAATTTTTGAATACAACAGACAGCTTTACGAGAAGAATCGACTGTCATACGGCTAAAATAGAAAAGGAAAAAGCGGTGAATACGATAGAAATGATGGATAGAAGGGTAAAGCTTTCGGGTGAATGCGTATGTGGCCTATACAATGAGTTGTGGTGGCCAGCCGATGTACAAGGCAGTGCTTTTATCCTCCCAGACGGGTCTGGTACCAATTAATCAACCCCAAAGGGATGGAAGGCTTGGCTAGTTGGGGCCGGTATCGATCCGGGATTAGAACCGTGACCATGCGTATGCGATAGTGCGCCATTTGCCTCTACACCACCTCCACCCCGGTAGAAATTAGGGGAAGGAATTCATTAAAGTTTATTAATAGTTGCCTACGTCCGGACGATTTCGGAAATGCATATGACTCCAATGGAAGGACGAGTTCTACAGGTGTTTAGTGCCCCCACATGGTCATTTAAAAGTCGTCTACGACGAAGAAATGAAATAAAACACAGGGATGGCGAATTGTGGGCGAAACTTCGGCCTCGGATAGGACTCGAACCCGTACTTGTGTTTTCGGGCCCCAGCAGAACGGGTTCGAGTCTTGTCCGAGGCCGAAGTTTTGCCCACAAATCGCCATCCTTCTGAGACTTTCGGACCGCGTACTGAGGCGAGAAACCAACAGTTAACAAAACTTCAAGCTGAATAAAATACATTTCGAACTATCAATATTGGGATAAGACCACTATTGGAATGAAGTACAGAAGTAACTTATCCGATCAGAATGAAACATCTACCGTACCTCAAGGCCGATTCGATGTGCCTCGAGAGCGACTCAATTGTTCGGATACGGTAATCCGGTTCGATATTCTCTTTTTCGGTGGCCATTTGAACAATATCATTGAGTCGAATACCTAAAGAAAATCGCTACTTTTGTTTTGATGCAACGCTTCCCCCTACCATCGATTGTGGCTTTTGTTTTGTTTAGCTATCGTAGTGGTATGTGAGCGGGAGAGAGGGAAAGGGTCGACTGCTAGTAAACATCGTTTAGAATCGTTGACATCACTTTGAAGCCATATCACTAATTCAATAGCGAAGAAGCCAACTCGGCCATCATTCGACTCTTCCCGCTCTATTCCCTGGTGCCAAATCCTTTATATGGTTCAGCATAAGTATAGCTGGGATAACAATTTAGCCTTTGGTTCACTCTGTCAGCACATCCCTCAGCTTCAGTTGTTCCTACTGACTTCTGAACCATCGCATGAATATAATACAGGCAAGCCGTACCGGATTTGTCACTCATCAATCTCCACATAAGGCACGGAATGTAGTAGAGGAAGGCCTGAATCAATAAAAAGAACGGCACCCATTGATAATACGATATTTGGCGATATTCACGTTCTGCTATATCGACGGGTATATCCTGAAAAGTGGTAGTTGCTTAGATGACCATGAGTTGGTAATGATGATACCTGCTCTATGGGAACCCAGTACGTGTTCTGCGCCCAGCAGTACATCTCCGTGTAGGCCTCCCAACTTGCAGTGAACTGCGCCGGAACCCAACATTCCAGCGGGCGACCACCGAACTGAAAACTGTGATTTTGTTTGGGACAGTATGACATCTGGGCACGAAAGAGTTTTAAAGATAGGCTAACGTTGGGTTACGACAAAAAATGTTTGACCCCGAACACCGGCGACAATCAGTTGTCAACAAAATTGAAACAAACTCAATAAAACGAGAATTTTGCATTTTTTTTTNTTTTTTTTTGTTGCGGAACAGCTTGGAGTGAAGACAAAGTGCTTCGACAAGGCACCTTGTCTTTACTCCGAGCCGACACTGATGCCTCATGAATACGAATGTGTTAGACATGTCTACAGGTATAGAGCACTTCGGATACTCACAAACCTGTTACTCTTATGGAAACGACAAGCGGAGATGTTGAAGAAAACTATACATTTAGAACATTCAAACCAAGTTAAAATTCCTTGTGGGCAGGAACTTCTCCGGACTCTTTCATAAAACACATGGATTGGAAGTAATTGCCAATTTGAGGGAAATTACTAAGCTGAGCTGCTGTTTTCAGCCGAAATGGTTGAAACTCTTATATGAAAGGTAACCTACAATCATGATTTTATGCTGACGTTAAACAGACAGTCGCATGCGCCTTTCAAAGCACAGTTCATGATAGTTTGGTGGTATCTAATTATAGGCAAGTAATGGAAGTGCTAGTTCAGAGAAATGCAAAAATTGTTAAGAAGATGCGAAACTTGACACATTCAGAGGAATCTGAGGCTCGAAAAAAAGTAAAATAGATGGTTGGACAGGAATGTGAGGACAGTAGTTGCATGGAAGGGGCATTTGGACGAACTGTCCAAAATGTGTGTGCCACTGCGTAGAGCAGCCTACAGTAAGCTGCCTGCGTGTAACGAGTGCGTGCCGGTGCGTCTGATGAAACCTCTACAGCCTCTACAATCCGCTGAAGTCCCGTACACCTTTGAATGATTACACCATCTAAACAGGTTATGGGGCCCTTATAACGAACACCCTATCTGAACCTTTTCTCGACCAGACAACTTCCCCGTGCGCTTTCCTTGGGAGTCACAGGTTTATATTAGGGAGAATTCCTAGAAACTATTTTTGATGTGAACTGTGCCTTGAATCACTGAAAATGAAGTCTTCAATCAAAATGGAAGGCTAGGAGTTTGCGATACTGGTAATGCGGTGCTGCACCTTAAGTAACACCTCTGCATCTTGAAGGCTACCACACCCATTTCCATAGAAATGAAGCCAAAAATTTGAGAACTGGAAATTCAATACATCTCTGCTTTCCATGAGCCGTACAGTAGCTTGGTTTTCTTTTTCAACTTAATTGGAGCAATAAAACACTACTGGTCGGCAATTAATTGTTCACAAATGAGAACGAATCAGTAGCAGTTTTTGTATCACTTCGTTGTGAACCAACAGTGCACTTTGTCGACTATTAAGCCAATACTACTTCCCATTCTTCATTGAAATTTCCGTAGCTACAAGTTAGTAGGTCAGATGCTCGAGGGCTTTATTTGTCTGAGGATAATCGATACGTGGGATTAGCGAGTAGGAAACGACGCGCTCAACAAGTCTGCCACGAGTAGCTTGAATGCAAGCAATACATTTTAAAAAATTAACTTCACAGTAGCCCTAAGCTCCTTATCACCACCCACTTACTACAGTCACAACTGCTCAAGGTTGGTAGTTATCTGCAAAGCCGAAATCGAGTATTTAGAAAAAACTTCAAAGACGTAGTTCATGTTAATTCTAAGGTATATGACATGAGTAAAATAATCGAAGTTTTATCACAGAATAGTGCAAAACGGCGAAGAAAGCGCGAAAAGCAGCGTATTCTAAGAGAATAGGACTCTAAAAAGGTATTAAGGAAGGAGTTTACACAAAGTTATGTGAAGTAAAGTTATTATCGTGAACCGTGCCTTTAAATCAAGGCCCATTTATTCTACCTCAAGAAAGGAGCCTTACTATATTCGAGTATATAANTATCTTCAATACATCAAATGCTTTCTATTTTCAAACATGGATAGTGGTACGATCGTTTAGGCGATCTTGAATGTGTTTAGAATATGAGCTTATTTCTTTTAAAGGGCACAATTCACTATAAAAATGGTATCTGAATAATCATTAGGACGAATTCGTGGCCCCAAAGACACCTAGGCTTAGTTGTCATCCGTACCGGCGTTAGTGTTTGTTGTAGAGGTTGCACCATTCCCAGTGGAGAACATATGTTGAGAATTCAAGCAACTGATATCCCCGGGGCCGATTGATCTTTTGTTCTGTGGTATACCTTAGGCGTGTAGGGTCTACAAAATATTAGTAGGTTGGCAAAAAAGTCCTGGGACAAAAAATTTGAAGCGCTGAAAATTTGTATCAACACTGTGAACAGGGTAGCAAGGGTGATAAACTTGTAGGACGTTCCTCGGGCAAACAACACATGAGTAAATAGGGGCACTCGTGTGGGCTTAAGTAGCATTACGGTCAATGAATGGACAACACCCGATTCGTACCATCGCCTTGTACTAAGCACGCCAAGGGAAAAACGCCGGTGTAGTGGCTCAAAGTATCAGCAACCTATTCAATGCTGGCACTGATCACCGCTAAACGGTCAACAATCGGTTGGATAGCTTCACTGGAGGAGATACTAGCCTTCGAAGTTACGCAAGCATCGTCCCTTAATTCAATGGAGGTTGAAGGGATCCATCCACTATGAGTTGCTAAACGCAGACTAGATTGACACAGCTATCGGTTACTCCTATGAACCCCGAATTTGGGCGAACAGGGTTAGAGAAGGACGATCAAAACCGTAAATAAGGTCCCTACAGAGGGACAGCGCTTTGGACACGCGTCAAAAGTTCACCGATCGCGCTTGGGTCTTGATTGTTCATTCGTACTCCGAGTGTTGCCCCTTCTAACTACCATGTGCTCCGCCTTCTTGTGCATTCCATTGTGGAAAAGGAATTCGTAACTTAATGTGTTCTGAAACGGAGTCAATCACTTCTTCGAGTCACACCTTCCTCACTCCTGAACAGGTGGTATCAGTGATTGGCTCAAAAGATGATGGAAGGTCGTTGACTTCTTTGGTAAAAATATTTCCGAAAATTGATTGATACGAGGAATTTTAGAAACGATTTAAAAAAGGTCTCCATCTTGCCGCAGGACTTTTTTGCCAACCTAATAATAACGATTAGTAGAAGAAAGCAAATTGAAGGTTTTGTTGACTGTAGTCAGCAAACCAGCTCTTTAGGCCTTAGTACACAACCCTAATCTTGTCCATGCATTCCTTTCACAGCATTTCCGTCATTTTAATATCGTACGATCCCCTAAACCCACAACTTTTTAGAAGCGTCGTATTTTGCCAGTTTTGTGAATTTCCCCTTTTCATCTCCACCGATGCTCTATTCCGTATTATAAACTTGAAAAGCACCCCACAATTATCGTGAAGCGTGCTTCGAAGCCACGCATCTACCCATTGCAAGTTTTGAAATAAATCAGAAAAATGAATTTTTCGAATTGAGTAGTAAATATGGCAAGAGCCTTCAGCACGTGTGTAGTCTGGTGGGAGCAACCCTCATGACCAACTGAGTTCCCCACCTGTGGGGTTAATAATCTTCTGGGATAGTCATATTAACTTTTTTCCTGTAGCTAAGCTCTCTAGGAATGAAAGGAGAAAAATAAAAAAAACAGAAGGAGCCACTGACAAGCTGTTCATGCATTGGTAAAGACATATGTAATGCCGTCGCAGCGAGAAAAAAAAGCCTTATTAGAAGCGTGGATAGCCATTCAGGTCAGTCGGGAACGCCTTTCTGATCGGATAGCCTTTCATACATGTGGATATGAAATCTGGAGAGTGAGGCTCACAAGTAATTACATTGAATGCACAGTTTATGATAAATTTGAGGTACATTTTACAAAGCGGGTCTTGGTAGAGATTAGTGCATTAGTGGCAAAAATAGCGAGAAAATTCGCGATAATATAAGACCTTCCGAAAGTAGAAGGAAGTAGAGGTTATAAGAGAACATAATGAAGATAATAGCATGAAGGGGGTATTTGGACGAGATTATACTTGCGACGATTGCGTAAGAACTGACTAAACCAAGCCAAAAATGCCCAAAACTGCCTTTCACTGTCACAAAGTCTAAATTTTTGAATCTCCAACATGACAGTCTCCTGAGATGGTGTAGCGTCTACAACATCGTTGAAACTCGTCCGCTGTGGGTGTGGCACTCAGCCGATACAACCTTTGAGCCCTATCTAGGCCGTTTATCGATCTAACAGCGCTATGGTGTACTGGAACGCCATAGATTTATCGGAAGGAGATTTTTGGAAACCATTTTTACTGTTGGCTTCAAGACAAAATGATGTGGAAGCTACAGAAGTAGAAGCAACACCAGCAAGATAAAGAGTGATAATACTGGGTATGGTATGATACCGAAACGGCTTAGAACATGCTCAAAATTGTGGTACTTCGTGTTCTTCTTGAACATTCCTCCAAACAAATGGTATGAACGAAAACTTGGTGTTGCCTATTGTTGTCGTCTTTCGCCATCTCCCTCCCATGTGGTTCAACATAGACTCTACTATATTATGCTCCCGTCTACATGACTATCACGGAATGAGCTCTGCTAAGGCTTTATTCCGAAAACTCAGTCAGTAGTTTGAAGGCACATTTACGATGATTCTGAGGTATCTGGCTTGAGCGTAATCATGCATCTGTATTTGTCTGGGTGTCTCCCCATAAACGTACTATTCATCGGCGTCCTATACTTTTATTGTGAATGGTGCAGCCTTAACAATGCCGTCATAACAAATGCCACGTTTGGGTGTGTATATCGGCTGAGCCGGCTTTAGAGCCCTTATAACTTCTCGTCAAGGTCTGCTTCGACCCAACAATGCCCCACGGCTTTCTCTGAAGCCACAGCTTCATCCTAGACGGAGACCTCATAGAGCATTTTTTTCGTAAACGCTTTGGGAACGCGATTTCTGCAAATTCTTCATTTCCCACAATTTCGTACTTCTCGGGAGAATATTTTCCCAGTGAGAATTTGCAATTCACTTCTGCATGTGGCCGAAGCCGTCATAGGAATTAATGAATAAGTAATTAATCTCGAGTTGGCCGGAATTTCCTCTTAGCGATGAAAGGCCTTCCATATATGCAACGATCTCATTATGTCATCATAAGCTGAAGTAACTTTTGCAAGAAATGCAGTGGTATGGGAGCCGAGCGATTGAAAAGGAAGGAGATGAACCCTTTTGAAGACGTTCAACCATCGGAACCCTTTCGGAAAGTTCAATTTGCCATCGCAATTCAGGATTATGGATCGTTTAAAGGCGTCAAATTGCTCTCCTGCCCTATTTAACGACAAGCACTGCAACTCGAATGGCATTTGTCTATGTTGTATTGCTTCCAAGCACAATAAGGTTGGAAAGCCTAGTGAACTCGATAAAAATCGAACTTCAGACCATTTGAGTGGTGGCAGAGTTTCTTGTCATCGGAACTTACATACGCCGAATCTCGACAAGGTACCCTTTCAATGCCTTTCGTCAAATTTCATACTGCTTGGAGTTTTTCGAAGTCAAACGGAATTAGGGTGAAGGAGCTTCAATATCACTACATTTATATACATATATATGATATTACAATTTGAAATAGAATTTATATTGCAGAAAAAAAGCCTATTTAAGAGAAACAAAGGGAAAATAGCGAGTGCCCTACTGAATTTAGGTAGGATACTGTAGTAAAAAATAAAATTCGAACATGCTAATCGTTTTTGAAAATCTCGAAATATAAAAAAACTGATTCAGGAGATGGATACCTGTTTGAAGCTGACTAGAACAGCCATCATAATAAGAAACGATGAAGTGTAGAAATACGAAAGCCTGTCCACAAAATCATCGTCCTTTCTATAGTGAAGAAATGAAAGTGCACTGAAAAAAAAAACAAAAATTAGGACTGCTACACAGCAATAGAGCTATAAAAACGAGAGAATTATCACAACAAAAGAGAGCATTTTTCTCTGGAGCATGTAAAAAAAGGCGGAGGAGCGAGTGATCGATTTACTTCTTGAAGTCAGCCTTGTTCACGAGTCAGATACATTTAATGATGGAAAAGATCTACTATGATTAGTCAAAGCTCAGGTGTCCCATGAGGGAGTAGGGAAATGTACAAATAATGCCGTGCAAGATAAGACAGGTACTACATCCCTTGTTCTAGGAATTGTCAGTCCCAATTACTGTCAAATATCTCCTCTCACCCAAGGGGGAAATGTAGCTCAGCGATCGGAGTGGTCTGTGAGGTAATGGCGTAAAGTTTTGCTGTGCCGAACCGTATCGCTCGGGTAGGGGCTGGAGTCGAAGCCATATAGTAACAAATAAGTAAATTTGAAGAATCTAGGGTGAAGCTGTTGTATATCGCTTCACGCCTCTCTCCGCTACGGTACGATAGTTGAAGCCGATATGTTAAATGAGCAGACAGGTCGTATTCCAAAAGAAGATCGTCTCTCGCAAGTTTTCATGACGCTAAGCTCAAGACCGACAGTGAATTGCCGACAGTAACTAGAACCGAAGGATAAAGTCCACTCATTTCAAGTGTGGATGCTCTACAGATTCCTTGTCGGTAACCCGACCTTGCGGTAATCTTTAGACTTACACCTCATTTGAAATGAGAGATGAAGCACATCTCAAAGGGACGACAACATCACACTGAAAGGAATCCACGAAAGTGATTGTCATCTCAACAATCGGTAAGCTAGTGACGAGTTTCCTGACACGATTTTTTCAGTACTGTAACTGAATTCACGATAAGCAGGGCAGAGCAACCCTCGTGACAGCCCACCAATGAATGCAAACTGCACTCAATGAGCACAAACCAAATGTTCGTCTTGAAGTCGCCCACGACAATGGTTTCTCAGTGGGTCCAGCCGCCCAAAGATTACTGGTGACAAGGATTAATTCGAATTGAAGTAAAGGATAGACTACCGAGCATGGATTGATCCAATGAAGAGTGCTCTACAAAACCGATTCCCCCGGAAGGTTTTCTGCTTCTAACCGAACCACCGGGAGGGATCAGTAGCACCTAACCGAACTTAGACGAGGGAGGTCTTTCGTCCTTTGCAGACAAGAAACATGAATTGATCCGGGGAGAAAGGGATCGTTTGCGAAGCCACTGGGTGCTAGCTTACTTTTGAAAAAATAATGATTGCAGTAATAAAGTTAGACGAAAGTCCTAAGGGAGCAACTCTATAGTTAGGCAAAACGAATTACCAGTTAATAGTTGACGATAAGTTAAGTTAAACCTAGAGATCGAATATTCTGTTTATGGGATCGTTGTGCTTCCTAATTCATATAAAATCTCATGTCAGGGACTACTCAGCAGTTGAGGTGCGGCTAGATCTTGCCGGATGCTAGAAATCCCCATGTACCCACCCACCCACGATCGAGTAGTCCCCATTAGACTTATCTACTTACTGTCTGAGGCTCTCGGGATTACATTTTATAACATTTTGTTAACATTGATATTTTGAAGAATCTATGTTTCTGAAAAAAAGAGTTACAAACAGAATTCAACCTTCAAAGAATTAAAACTCGACAATTGAAAATGGAAGAAACATTTGTTTATCAATACAAAGCAAATTGACTAGAGCAAACAAAAAAGTCATGGACGGATCGAAGATCCATCAGAAATCACCTTACCTAAACATATTCTGGAGCACCATGGCTCCAACTTCGACCACCGCGGCGTGGTGATAGCTTGTAGAATCGCGACCGTGCCCTAAACAGAAGGACTATTCGGTAGTTTCACAGTTTCTGCTTTTTTTCATTAAATTGTTCAAAATGGGTCACCTCTGGAAGACCTAGCTATATGTCGACCTCTTCGAGACGACGACGATTCTTTTTTATGCCATTTTTGCATTACCTGTGGGCCGCAGAAAGCGATCGAAGAAGGGACGGCACCGAATGACATCGTGGAAATTACAATGATTTCAACAAATATTCATATTAAACCACAGATGACGGCTATACCGAAGAGACGAGGAACTGCCAGAGAATTCTAAGACGAATGGAGTTCCAGCAAAAAGAAGGGATATCTCGAAACCAAATGAGGCCATATACAGAAAAAAGGAAATGGCATCCGATAGATCGTTTGGCGGAACCATTCCTTAAGGGATCAAACTCCAAGGGGAAAGATGTAAAAACAGATAATTCTGGATGATAGTTGATCAGAATTTTCAGAGCTTGAATGGCTTATAAAACATAGTAGCAAAGTTTGTGGGAGACCGCGATGGACGGGTGTGGCATGGGCGGAAGGCTCTCGTGCTAAGCATCGGAAATTGTTAAGCCCCGGAAAAATTGCAGAGGCTTTCTTACCCTAACTCTCCCTTCAGGCTTTTCTTGAGGTGACGCATCACTCCGTCAACTCCAGTGGGTTCGATATGGGGTCAGTAAGTTGGGAAAGAAAAAAGCTGGGGAAGAGAAACCTCACGGAATCGGGACAGAATCCATTTGGAAACACCTAGGAACAACCCATTCCCTTACCAGAAGTCGATAGCAACANTTGACGAATTCCGGGGAGTTTCGGGAGATCTCGTGGAGCACCTCTCCGATTTTTTCTGCACCTCTCCATAATCTTTGCAGATCTACTTTTCAAGTTCATTCCAGTGCTGCACAGTGCAAATCGGGCTATATGCTCCTAAGGATTCCTACGGCGTCTCGTATCTCTTACACCAAGCCGTAAATAACTTCTCCAGTCAATACTCGACTAAGCTCTCGTGCAGCTATACTTTTAGTGCAATTTTTCAGTTAAGCTCTTAGAGCACTCGTCAATAATCACTGCTCGTCCCCCGGCTTGCATCATCTAGCGCCCTCCGCGGAGGCCTCAGGCTGCTCACGTCGTCACGGCCACGGCTTAATCTCGTCATCGTCGTGTAATACTTGACGGCAAATTACGAGATTATTTTATGTGCCAGTACACTTCCGAATACAATATGAATGCCCATCAAAGGATTAACCCCGACTAGCGACTATCGCCTACTCGTTTTGAGGATAAGGGGAGAAACTGGAAAAGAAGAACAGTAGAACAACGAAGCTTTTGGAACGGGAAGAACCATCGGCCAGGATGCTCGAAGAAGTGCAGTGGCGTTAAACGACGAATGGCGATCGTTAATCGGAGGCTACGGCGCTTGAAACATTTATTTGTGCAATTTTTGGTGAGCGAAATAGCCGATTCTCGCGGCGCTCCCGCAAGGGCTACTGGCATCCCAACAGAACTCCTAGGCTACAATCCTCCCAGATACCTGGGACCTTCTAGTTTGCTCAATAAGAAAACCATGTCCCATCTTTTCACAGTAAGAAACGAGCTCTATTAAAGCAGCATAATTATGTTTTACTTCTTCGACAAGTGTTTGCAAAACAGCGTTTGCAGAATCCTCATTAGGGGAAAAATGAAAGTATGGGAAAGTGCTCTGTGACTTACCTTGCCTAGATGGCCTTCCGGACCTCAGAGACTCTCTCTGTCTATAGAACGAAGGCATACTAACAGCGGCATCGCGACAGCATTACATCATCATGAGGCCGAGCACATCTGAAATGACTTCGAATCATCTGGAGGAAGTTGGCCACTTCATGTAGGTCCAAGATAAAGAGGTTATTCAAGAGGCCAATTTAGCAAATGAGGGCTGGCTCCAACACCACCCTTTCGGATGAGTCAGTCAAGCAAACAAGGGAACTGCTCGAAAAAATCCAGCACCATACCATGGATTTTTCGAAGCATCGTTTTCCTACTGTAATACTTATATCTACATGGGAAACGAATCATGATTTTTAAGGAAAAAATAAATTCGAAAAAAGTCGAAAAGCAGAAAAGGGAGGAAGAAAGAAAATGGGATGGGAAGCAGCAGAAATTCTCGGCTCAGCTGACTTCAACAACGGCTAGATTTGGCCAATAAGGGATAGCAGGCGTAAATGTAATAAGCTTAAAAACTTTAGTTATCCAAGAAAAGGTGCAATAACAGGAACTAGCTGTAGCTCAGTAGTGGCTTTATTAGTTGATCCAAGAAGACTGCCTAGAACGGGGATGGATGGGCTAGCCATTCTCGTCGTCGGCCATTATAGTCATAAGTGGTATGAAGTAGAGCCGGCTTCAAAAACAAAATATTTCAGTTCGTGATTCTCGACACGACTCTTCTCGAAGATGGACCATAACATGAGGATAAGTGACGGAATGTGGTTATCGATCGATTTTTTGGGTATGCACTATGCATGGGACTTCCGTTTTTAATCCTTGGTGTGGATGGATGCCTAGTATCCCCTACCTTACCATACTAAAGCAACTCCCCAATTTGCCCGTTTTATGGACTATCAAAACCCAGCTTTTTAATCTCGGCTACTTCTGTACGCAACTTTATATGAAGGAACATAGGACTGTTCCTCATCCAAAAGTATTTTTGGTAAAAAAATAAAACAAAAAGTAGGTTATGAACAGTGGTGAGAATGTTGCGAGAGAATCTTTGAATACAGATGATTTTGAAACCCGTTCAATGAGATTAGACTGGTCCTGATAGGCGTTTTGTGGGTCGAAAAAAAGATTTCCGAAAGAAGCGAAAATTAGAAATGAGAGGGAAAAAGAAAGGGCAGCCGCCCGAGTGAAATCGATCACATAAAGTAAAAGAGATGCTGTAGTCCTCGACAGCGAAATTATTAGTTAAGGACAGGCAATTAAAAGAAAACAATTAGCAGCAGTGGAACAAACCACAAAGCGTCTGGGTGGCACAAAGTCGAACTCATTGAAAATCAAAGTTGACGACCACGTAGGGCTTGTCCAGAAACATACAATCGCGGAAGAGGCCGTCCAGACCAGCTCAGACAGCGTGGGCAATTCAGTAAAAGCTATATCATCTTGTCTGACCAAATGTGTTACATGGGTCATGGGTTACAGCCCATGTGGGTAAGATTTATGACTTACCTATAAGGGTTT